TCTATCTTCCTTCTCCTCTAACCCTATTTTTTATTAATCTCTAAAACAAATTGATGATGACAAGTATACCCTTAAGTGGGCGGCCAGCTTGGCAGTTACATAAAGAAAATAAAATAAGAACAAATAACAGGCCCATTAAGTGAGGCCCATCAACATAAAATAAAAGATAAAATAAAGGATATCACATAAGGGGCTGTTAGGGCCCATTCGGCCCAGTCTCTTTACAGATTTGATTTAATGGTAGGAAGAAAAATCAGAGCAGGAAGGATAGAGTCGACAAGAGAAAGCTTTTAGGTCTTAACAGACCAAATTTCAGAAGAAGTGGGACACTGGCTAGACGTATCTTGTCTGGAGTTAGAAAGAGAAAGCGAGAAAGGTGGATTTGGTGATCGCCAAGTATGATAAGAGTGGTAAGAATAGGATGATTGGTGGAACAGGTATGAACCTTGTTGATTGCCCATATTCTTCAGTGAATGGTGATTCTGGACACTGTTCTCAGGTTGGCAGAGGAGCTGAGGTGATTTGCGTCCCTGCTGAGCCTGGGGTTTCAGATGCGGCACCTCTAGAAATCAAGTATGACTCTGGAAACCAGCTCTGTTGATCTTGGAAGTGGATTTCTTTGCTGGTTCAGAGAGGCTGGAGGGGGGGGGGGAGAGTTGGGGAAGGGCATGACTCTGCAGGCAATGAGTTTGAGAGTGAAGGTGAGCCTGGAGGAAAGGGGCTACAGATGATGGCAGGGATCAGGATGAGACCTATGTTGAGGAGGTGAAGGCTGGAAGGTTGGGTGTTGACTTGGGCTGAAGGAGCAGGTCTGAAGAAAAGGAGGAACAGATTAACAGGTTAATTAGTAAGAAATTGCATAGTTCGAGAAACCATAATGTAGTGCACGTGACAAAGATCTTCTCCAGGCTAAAACTTGGTCTGGCAGGGGCAGGACCTACAAAAAGCTACAAATGGGTTTATAAGAGGAAAAGAACAAGAGGCAACGGGACATCTGGCATTGACCATGGGGGGGCAACAATGCAAGTTCAAACATCGGCTTCCCATTTGGGGAAGGAGCAACAGGAAAACAAAATGAGTGGCGTGGATTCTGATTCTGGTGCGAGCAGGATGCTGCAAAATAATGATGGTAATGACAGTAGTTCAGGGTGTGTGAGTCTCCAGAAATTAGTAGATAGAGAGGTCACAATTGGTAAGAGCTTGGGCTTGTTTTTCTAGGTTGGTGAGGAGTTTGCTAGAAGGGCCTTTGAGGAGTTCCAAAGGAGGAGACAGGAAGAGAAGTTGAACAAAAAAGTTCACTGGGAAGGAGGCAAGATTTGGGACAAAGATGATTCAAGCCAGGAGGTTGAGTTTGTGGAGGAAGATTGAGGCCTTGGTGGTTGTGCAAGGAGGGCTTGCATTCCTGATCAGATGTTGGGCTGTCTGTCTATGTTGTCATGGGGATTTCTCTTGGGTTTTTTTCCTGGTCTTCACTCTAGGTGGGTTGGGTGAATCTTAAAGTTTTGTTAGTTATGTGGTTATTAGTTTTATTATGGGGTTTTTGAGGTCTGATTGATGGTTCATTGGGTGTGCTTCCTCTTCGGGTGATGTCTTATCACCTTTCTGTTGTATTCTTTTTCCTTTTTCTAATGAAATTTTATTTTTATTCTTCAAAAATAAAGAAATATCCAGTTGTGCATTCTTTCCACCATCTTTCATCTCTCTCAGGCATACAGCTATCTTCACCCATTCAAACTTGCTTAATAACATAATGTATTCATCCACTTCCCTATCTACAAGTGGTCTTCTAAACCTTGGATACCAAATCAAATTCTCTCCTCTTGTCTCAGAGACTGACTGATGGCGGTGTTTTGAGAACTCAATTTATAAAGAAGCTTCTGTCCTTGGAAGAACAGGGTTTCCCCAAACACACTTGGTGTTAGAAATTTTCACCCGATTTCTTTTAATGCCATTGTTTAAAAACTTGATTGTGAAACATTCATTTGTGCATTTTTTCCACCATCTTTCATCCCTCTCCAGTACAGCTATCTTCTTCTAACCAAGCTTGCTTAATAACATAATGTATTCATCTACTTTCCTTTCTAGAAGTGGTCTTTGACTCCTTGGATACCAAATAAAATGTTCTATTGTCTCATAGGACCAACTGATGGTAATGTTTTGAGAACTCAATTTATAGAGTAGGACAAATCTCCTCCAGTTTCCCAACACGGCTCCAATCATCTTCCCAAATTCTGATTCTGGTTCCATCTCCCATTTAAGCTTTATAATGCTTAAAAAGGATTCTTGGAAGCTCATAATGCCATTCCAACTTAATGATCCCATATTTGCCTCTTTTGAACCACACTCAAACCTAATGACCTTATATTTGCCTGCTTTCACCAACTCTATGGCTCCATAATGGAATTTTGTAGGCCTCTACCATTTTCTTACTAAACATTCCAACCTTGTTTCGTGTTTTTTTGACAGGTAATAATAACTTTGTTAATTATAAGTCATGTATAAAACATGAAAAATAGGAGGATAGATAAATCTTCAATCATTTAGTAGATACCCTTGACCACTTGAAACAAAACAAAAATTGGATAAGTTTAATAAGTTGTTAACTCTTCTCAATTGTTATTGAAATGAATAATACTAATGTCTATGAAACTTTTGTGTATCAAGGCCCAGCCAGTGATGAAGGAACTATATCCTTGCAAATTTTAGGCAATGTTTTYGACTTATGTTGAAAACTCCTCCAATTTCCCTCCTTCCAAATACCCTACAATGCTGCAAAGGAAGATTCTCCAAATGTATGGTGCCAGTATAAAAAAAAGAAATAACATATGAATTCCAGCCAACACTGTATCGTACAAAGTAAAAAATAATAAAAAAAAATCATTGTCCTGTTATATACACCATAGGAAACGAGCAAGGAAAAAATTAAGTTTGTAAAACATTTTAAATTTGTAATATCATTTTATATTTATACATATTTTTAAAAAGCTTTGTAGTATCATTTTATATTCTTCTACCACCAAGCAGGTTTTCAATCCAATCCAGACTCCTCAGCCTCAATGAGTTGTGAATTAAACTTTAAATTTTTGTTGGCTGCTCGTTAGGAAATCTAGGGTCTTCAAGGATAGGAGTTTTCTAAGGTGATTTAATAGTGATTTTGTTATTTTTTTCGAGTCTAACTGGGTCAGATGACCGTATCCAGCCATCCAGCTTGGGTGAAAGCCTTGTTGCAACTTGCAAGTACTCCAGTTATGGTGGTTCTGCAAGTTCAGCATGTGGAGGTGGTGTGGGACTCTTAGGTGGTATTTGGTTGGATTAGATATGGTAGTGGATTCATGGAGGTTCAGGCACTTCACGTGAGAGTGGCCGGAACTCTGCATTGAAATGTGAACAATTCATTCAGGTGGATCTGAAGGTTGGCTAAATCTGTAGCTGATAGTCTAGGTATATGATTTTATCTGTCTGAAGCTCTGTTTGATTATTCATAAAGTGCTTTTCTTTAAACAGTGTTCATGTGTGTGTACATAAAATTATTAGTTTCTTGCCTATATCCCCAAACCCATATATTCTTAACTCCTCGGTTTAGACTCTTGGGCATACATCAGATTTTGTCTGTCTGTAGACATGCAATATTGGTATGATCTATTGATTCTTAGTAAGTTTCCAATAAAACTTTATTATGGTAGTTCATGCATATATCTCATTATGAGTGTATCTTCTGCTCATGTCTATTTGATCCACTCCTTCTCATTGTTGTTCAATATCTTTTGTCTAATGTCATTGTATTTAGTGCTCATATATTGAATATTTTGCCTTTAATTTGCAGTTTTTGCCTCTGTTTTATCATGCAAAATGCAAGTTCACCTGATGCATATGTCCAAGCAAAGGTTGCAGCTGTGGGGGCACAATTAATGAAAAGAGGCTGGTAAGTTGCACCAAAAGGATTAAATAACTTTCCATCACATGCAACATATACAAGAATTTGTACAGTAAGTGTGGTCAAAGATTATATTAGTGATTAACTAAAAGAATGTTACACAAGCTCAAAGTCATTGCAAACAAGCTAACCCAATACAGTTGTGTCCTGAAAGAAGATCACAAGCAAAGGTTTCTGACATGGATGCATGCTTAAGAGTGAAACTAGGGATTAAGGATTCCTGGTGTCGTTGCAGAAAAATTGAAGATGATGATGATGTGGAGGGATGAGTTACATGTGGCAGAAAAATAGAAGACGATTGGTGCCGCATGGAAGACAAAGCAGGAGCTTCCATTGGATGGTCAAAAAAAGGAGGGAATAGGTTCAAATATCAGGGTGACCAAACCGTTGCCCAAGGAAAAAAGGTGGTGGGAAGGTTGCTATTTACAAAACAAGTAGACAGGCACAAGATTTAAATCCAACGGTTGGGACAAAAACGTATGCAGAAGCTGTGTCAAGCAAAGAAAATGTGTGAGGCATGAAATCTCAGTGCAGAGGTATCAAATGGGGTGAATACTCAGAGATTGGTTGGACCGCAAGCCATCCTCAGCCTGGGCGAAGTAACTTCAATCTTAGGTCGGCACGTGACTCTTTAGTGAGTCATGTGCCTTGCTCTATTAACCTAGCAGGGGACAGAAACTTTGATCTATCTTCATCGTCTTTGGATCTTAAGCTGAAAACTCTTCCCGGTGGTGCCCTTCTTATCAGGAAAGTCTGTGTTGCTATTTCAAAGAAAAAACTGATAGTCAAGAAGCTGTAAAGATGATTTGGGTGCCGGTTTCAGGTGAACACTCCACTACGCCAGACAGGCCGAATCCTAAGTTTAAAAGAGTTGAGAAAGAAGACTCATAATTAGATATGACTGGGAAAATTTGCAAATTAAAGGGGACATAGAAGTAAATCAGCCCTTAAGTATCGAAAGCATCGGTTCTACCAAGGCATGTAAGTGAATGGAGGAGGAAGACTGGGGTACTGAACTGTGATTCGAGGAACAGTTGTGTGAAGCTACAGTGCCTCTAAAGAAATTTAGCCCTGAAGAGCTTTCTACCGAAAGCGAGAAGATCTCGGCTGTGCCAAAAAAAAGTTCCTCTAGACTAACAAAACCAGGAACAAATACAAGTTATAAGCAACTTGGGATCGAAGGAGCCAACACTTAAGTTTCAGAGCGAAGGCCACAAGAAGCTGAACAAGGTTTACCCAACACGACACCTGACCACTCCAAGCCTACCTTGGGACTGGCTAACGAAATTTTGGAACAGGGAAATTCAAACCCCTTAGTTATTTCTTCTGTTCCTCCTGTTATTGCTGGTGCTAATTGTGCTCCCCCTTGTTTGTCCTCCCCTGTTTTTGCAGCTCCATCTGTTATTCAAGACCCTGTGACGGTTGATATTCACATACCTACCATGCCTGTGCACTTGTTAGAAGCAGAAGAGAAGGGTGATAGGATTGAGGGGGAGAGGATATTTGGAATGGTGTTGGACAACCTAAAATTGCTGGTATCAGTAGATGGAAAAGGAACTGATGGGAATGAATTTTTAAGAAATGAATTGTAGGAACTGGAAGATGGAGGCACTGGAAATATAGGCAGTAACAGTGGTGAAGGGGCAAAAGATAAGAATCTGTTGGTAGAAAATGAGGCAAACTTGAGAAAGAAGAAAAGAAAGGCTATTGCTGATAGCTTGAAAAGGATGAAGATATTCAAGGAAGGATAAAGGCTTGGAGAAGACAAGGAAAAGGAAAAAGTGAAGTGGAGAGGCTGATGATTGACATAATTTATGATAGGAAGAGAATAGGAAATGAAAAGTGAGGGACATCAACTGAAGGTGTAAGGGTTCGGGTCAACTTTTTCTCAAGAATGAAGATAATAAGTTGGAATATGAGGGGATTAGGAAGTGTTACCAAAAGAAGGCTAATAAAGGATACTTTTAGAAAGGGGAAACTGGATTTGGTTTTGATCCAAGAAGCAAAGCTCTCAGAGGTTGATAGGAGATGGATTATAAGTATTTCGGGAATTAGAGGACTGATCTGGTTGTTTGCACCCTCGTGGGGTGCATCTGGAGGTATCCTTACTATTTGGAAAAATGAGGAGGTGGAATGTTTGGAAGAGTTGGTTGGACAATTTTCTATCTCAATAAAAGTAAGGAGATCTAGGGATGGCAGGGAGTGGGCCTTGACAGATGTATATGGACTGAACTCATATAGAGACAATGATCTTTTTTGGATGGAATTGGGGCAATCAAAGATTTACGGGAGGGGCCTTGGTTTTTCGGAGGTGATTTCAATGTTATAAGGTTCACTTTAGAGACAAATAAACCTAACCAAATATTAACTACAAGCATGAGAAACTTCAATGCATTTGTGGATGTTTTTGAATTAAAGGAGCTCCCATTATTGCAAGTAGAGTTTACTTGGATAAACTTTTAGGAGTCCCCGACTTGTTTTAAACTGGATAGGTTCCTTTTCTTAGTGCATTGGGAAGAGATGTGGGAAGGGCTACAGCTAGGGAAGTTCTAAAAGGAATATGGCTTTGCTGGGGAAGTGGTTGTGGAGGTTTACAATGGAAAAAGATAAATTGTGGACTAAGATTGTGTCTAGCATACATGGGCTGGATGGCAACGGTTGGGATCCTAGAATCACGGCAAGGGCTATAGCTGCTTCTCCTTGGAAATCCATTCATGATTTGCTTCCAGCTTTCTCCCCTTGGATCAGATATGGTCTTAACTCTGGCAATCGAATAAAATTTTGGGAACAACTTTGGGTTGGGGATTCACCTCTGAAGGACCAATTTCCTTCCTTGTATGCTCTGTTAGACTTGAAAAGTGAACCTATTTCTTCTTTCTTAGGTCCTTCGGACTCCACTTCTGGTTTTGGTTGGAACTTAGGCCTGAGAAGGGCAATTAGGGATACAGACTTGGACAACTTTGTTAACCATCTTGGAGAATGTTTTCTTGGATCCTAATAAGGACACTAGATTTTGGACTCCTTCTACCTCAGGTACTTTCTCTTGTGCTTCGTTTTTTGAAACCTTAACTCAGCCTTCCGTCACAATTGGGGTGTCCTTTCCAGTTAAAGAGATCTGGAGCAAGCCCATTCCTCCTCGGGTTGGTAGTTTTTGTTGGGAAATTTTCCTGGAAAGAGTTAACACAAATGATTTACTTCAAAAAAAGAGATCCAATTCGTGTTTACTTCCTAATAGGTGTACTCTTTGTAAAGCTGATGGGGAAACTGGTTACACCTTATGGTTTCTTGTAAGGTCACTAAAACTGTATGAGAGTGGGCTCTTTCCCTCTTTGGGTGTTCTTGGAATCCCCTCGAGAGTGTCCAAAGTCTGTTCTCTCCTACATTTTTCAGATGGCCTAAGAAGAGAGGGAAGATTATGTGGAGGAGCATTAGGGCAGCTGTATGTTGGTCTCTATGGGAAGAAAGAAACTCACGAATTTTCTCAGACAAGGAAAGAACCCTAGAAAACCTATTAGACCTAATACTTTTAAGGGCTGTCCATTGGCTAAAATCTTTGGAGCTGTTCTCAAACTTTCTTGTGGCTGACTTATTAAGAAATTGGAAAGAGATAGCTACCTCTGCTTTGTGTAAGAGGACTATTAGCCCCTCCTAGTCCCCTCCCTCTGGATTTATAAAACTGAATTTTGATGGCAGTAGTTGAGGAATCTAGGGCCTTCTGGGATTGGGGGAGTATTTAGGAATGAGGAAGGGGTTGTTATTGCTTTGTTCTTTGGCCCTACTGGGGAAGGAGACTCTCTTAGGGCTGAGATCCTTACAGCTCTGGAAGGAATTCAAAGAGCAAGGGAACTAAATATCAGACGATTGATCTTGGAAGGTGACTCGAAGGTGGTGATTAGCTGGCTTAAGGATGAGGACAATGGCTTGTAGAGCTATAACAATGAAAAGAAAAAATTCAGTTGGTTGGGCAGGGACACTGAGATACAATATAGCTGGGTGAAGAGGACTGCTAATTCATTTGCAGATGGGTTGGCTAAGCAGGGGGTGAATAGGGAGGCTATCTTTTGGGCTAATCTGTGACTTTCTGTCATTGTTTTTTGTTGATGGGGAGTTAAGACATTTTACCTCCCCTATGATATCTAAAGCTCCATAAATCTTCACATCATTATAAAGTTTTTGTTACTGATAAAAAAAAGAGATGTGGGAAAGTCTAGCCTCGTGAGCTTTGCCTATAGTAACCTTTAACAATTGTCCAATTAGCCTAACTCAAGAGCTGTCATACGTGGTCCTTTGCCTTTCAAATTTGAAAACATGTGGTTGGAGGACCCCACCTTTGTAACAAAAGCGAAGAGTTCGTGGGGTGAACTTAGGGGTAGTGGTACAAAGAAGGGGTCCCTAAAATAATTTTAAGAACAAAAATCAAAGCTTGGAACAAAGAGCAGTTTGAAAGGGTGGAGGAATTAAAGGAAAGAATCTCCTTGAGGATAGTAGGAAGCTTTGAGAGAGATTAGTGGGGAGGAAAGGGAGGAGAACGGAAGCTAAAGATTGAAATGGATGATCTGTTGAGAAAAGAGGAAATTTCCGGGAGACAAAAATTGAGATGTAAATGGATTGTGGAGGGTGATGGAAATACAAAATACTTCCATTCTTTAGCTAATGGTAGGAGGAGGAAAAATCAGATAACTAGCATTGAGGTGGGGAATCAAGAGGTCACAAGGGAGTATGAAATAGTTAAAATTTTTTGTGGACCACTTCAAGGGCTCTTTGCCAACTCAGGAGGGAGGAGATCAAATTTCCCAAAATTGGCTTGGGATAAATTGCCAGAAGACATTGTTGCTAATATGGAAAAGAAGTTTACACTCGAGGAGATCAAAGAGGTAGTGTTCTTGATGGAAAGATCTAAAGCCCAAGGCTGGATGGTTTCTCCATGGCTTTTTATCAAGAGTGTTGGGAGTTCTTGGAAGATGATCTTTTGGAAGTTTTCAATGAAT